GCCCCCCGCTGGCTCTGGCTCCGGGTAGGGACTAGAGCCCGCTGGGATTCATGGGGCCACTCCTCTAGGTCATTCCCCATCAGCACCTCGGTGGGCAAGTGCGGGTGCACCCCCACTTCCTTGAGGCCTTCCTTTGCCCCCCATTTCAGATGCACCCTGGCTACAGGCACCTTAAACGGGGACCCGTCTATGTCCTTCAGGGTCAGCTGCGTGTGGGGTAGTATCCGGTCTGGGGCCACTATATCGGATCGGGCCAGCGTCACCTCCGCCCCCGTGTCCCAGAAGCCCGTCACCTTCCTACCATCCACCTCCAGGGGTATGAGGCACTCGCTCTGCAGGGGCCGTCCTGCCCCCACACGGTACACGGAGAAATCCGCCTCCCGAGGGTCGGACCTCCCAGGGGAGGTGCACTGAGCATCCTTCCCCTCTCTCTGAGCTGAGGTTTGCCTGCCAGCCCCTGCCTCTGGGGCAGCCTGCCCTTCCTCCCGCCCCAGCCAGTTAACCCTGGAAAGTCCCCGGTCCTGGGACCTGGTGCACTGAGCCCTCTTGTGGGTTACCATCCTTCCTGCAGAGCAGCACAGGGAAGGCTCGGTATTAAGGGCTTAGCACCCAGAAAAGTAACCCCCAGATTAGTCTTACCCTTTTAAAAGTTTTACACAGAGAAATCTCATCAGTTAGTTCCCTTTATCAATGAGAGAGAGATTCGCAGTGGTTGTGTCCCATCCCCCCTTCCCCTCAAGCCGCGTAACATTTTTTACACTGGGCCCGATAATAAACAAAAATGTTTTTATTAAGTACAAAAAGTAGGATTTAAGTTGTTGCAAGTGAAGATAGTCAGAAAAAAGTAAGTTAATACATTAAAATGAATAGAAAAATACATAACTGATTCTAATCCAGTAAGACACTCGTTACATGCAAATTCATATCCTAAACAGCTGTTCTTATTTCAGATAGAAGCTGCAAATCAGAGTGGATCTCTTATTCTGACTTGGGTCTACAGCCGTCTTTAAAGTTCTTTTGTATCTTCATAGGGTGTGCCAGGCTGTTTCAAAAGCCAGCTGAAAACAAAAGCTGATTGTTTCTTATTGCTTAAATAGACTTCCTCCATAGCCAAAGGAATTATTAGTTTTCCATAGGGATGGGGGATGCAAAACAATCAGGTCCAAGATAGAGTCCAATATTAGGTGGTATGGTCACGTGTCTTTTTAGGACCAATCAAAGTTTGGTCTTACAGGATAAGCACAATCATTCACAAGTCACTGATTTGAATACTGAATCATTAAATTCCCGAAGTACCACTATAATGGTCCTCATTATTTTTAGAATGATAAACAGATTCACACTTCATATTTCTAATTTCACATACAAGAATGACACATGCACAAAAATTGTATTATACAGATTTAGCAGATTGTAACTGTAAAATTGATATGTTTTATGACCTCTTTTGCATAAAGCATCTTCAAATTATGCATATTCGTATTCCACTTCTTCAAATGACTGGAGTATTAGGAGGAGGGAAAAAAAAGAGAAAAGGGGAAAAAAGACAGTGAGTAGATTGTTCAAGTACAGTAAACTTCCGATAATCCGGCACCTTTCGGACCCAGGGGGTGCCGGATTATCAGATATGCCGGACTATCAGAAGGGGGGGCTATGAGGGGTCTGGAGTGGGGTGGGAGGGGATGCCACCCCAGACCCCTCATAGCCCCTCTTTACGATAGTCCGGCTCTGCCCCAGGCGTCCCTGATTCAGCTGCTGCTGGTCAGTTTCAGCAGCAGCTGGATAATCCGGCACCTTTCGGACCCAGGGGGTGCCGGATTATCAGATATGCCGGACTATCAGAAGGGGGGGCTATGAGGGGTCTGGAGTGGGGTGGGAGGGGATGCCACCCCAGACCCCTCATAGCCCCTCTTTACGATAGTCCGGCTCTGCCCCAGGCGTCCCTGATTCAGCTGCTGCTGGTCAGTTTCAGCAGCAGCTGAATCGGGGATGCC